CCATCTTTTTCCACAAGTATGTGGTAAACGCAATCCTAAGACAGTTTATTTTATTAAGGGTTCCCCCATTACTCCGCATCGCTCATTCAAGGACCTAGATATACTGGTTGATGATCAACTTCAATTTGACAAACACATCAATCTTATTGCCTACTCTGCTAAACTCAAGTCCCGCCAAATACTGAAAACGTTCCAATGGAAAAACCCGTGTTTATATTTCCGTCTCTACGACACCTACATTAGACCGGTCCTCGAATACTGTTGTGAACTTTTCGATCCATCCAATGCCACACTTGCCAATAAACTAGAATCTCCTCTTCGTTTTTTCACCAGAAAAGTCTTTCAGAGATGTAATATGGCCTTCAATTCATACACCGATCGCCTATCCCAGTTCTCTATGCTAACCACCCTTCATCGCCGCACCCTTCTAGTTCTTCGTACCTATCACAAAATTGTTATAAACTCATACCATTTTCCCTCTGTGTCGTCCTACATTCTTCCCAGCCATTCTAACAGAGCCCCGTATTTGTTCAAAATCAACGGTCAATACTTTGACTGCTTCCTTCACAGAAACTTGTCTATGTGGAACCGTGTATGTAAGGCGATAAATTTTAAGCTCAGTCCGGTGGCGTTTGCTAAGCGAGTAGGAGCGACCCCTTATGATATTCTGATCCCTCCCACTTGACCTACAGGACTCTAGTCGGTCCGTCTGGTCATTTTACTTTTTATTTGTACAGGTCCCATTTCTTGCCAAATTATTATCTATCGATTTCCCCATGCATTGCAAATAAAATATATCAGTCGGTTTGCGCCCCTCCGGGGCTGAACCTCCTGGCCTCCGGTTACAGTACCCGTAATCTTGCAAAAACGTTCCTACATTTTTATTCAGGACCTCGAAATTGGAAGTTGTGAAATTCAGTGTATTAGGAATTAGAAATTTAATAATTGAAGAATTTAAGATACCGTATTTCCTCTGATAGAAGTCCATGGACTTCTGTTTTTCAACTTCTTTTTCAAGGTGGACTTCCATTAGAAGGTCGTCTTCTGTTTTTCAGCAATATAATTTTTAAAAATCAGAAATTTGGCAATTCGGAAGTTAAGAATTCTTAAATTCAGTGTTTTGAAAAACTCGAAACTTTCATTCTGCCCTTCTAAATTCCAAAATTCTGAATTTATGCGATTCTGAGATCCCGGGATCTCAACTTTGAAATTCCGGAATCCTGAAATTCTAAAAAGTTCTGAAATTCTAAAAATCTGAAATTCCGAAATTCCTAAATTTAGAAATTAGAAAGTTCAGGAATTGAGAAACTTTCGAGTTCTAAAATCTCAGTTTCGAAAATTCTGGTATTTTGAATTACCGTATTTTCTCTAATTGAGGCCCATGGGCTCCTATGTATTAGAGGGTGGTCTTCTATTTTTCAAAACACCTTGCGGATGGGTTTCTATGTATTAGAGGAAGTACAGTATTCAAAATTTACTGAACTTCTGTTGGAAATTCCGAACTTTAATTTTGAAGATCTTGTCAAAGGTTTTTTTTAATTTCAAAATTCTGAGTCTAACTCTGAAATTAAAACTGTAAATAGAAAAGTCGGTTTACACTTTACAGGGGCTGAGCCTCTTTTATTTGAAATCTCGGAACTCAAAACTTTGGAAACTGTGGAAGTCAGAAATACGGAAACCCAGGTATTTATAAACTGAAAGTTTTGAAAGTTTTATATTTGAAAGTTCAGAAACATGCGAATCCGAAAGTTCTTTTTCGATATTGAACCTCGGATGGAAATTTCAAAATTTCCGAGTTTCTGGAAAAAATCGAGTTTCTGAACTGAAACAAACTGCTGAATTCTTTTATTTTCGAACTCAGAATTTCAAAAACTCATACATATTTTTCCAATTTTCAAGTTTCCGAGTTTCCAAATTCTCTAGCTTCTGGAGTTTTGAATATTTAAGTGTTCAATTTTTGAACTTCGAGAAGTTGGTAAATTTAGGAAGTGTAAAGCCAGAGATTTGGATTCAAAACGTCCACAACGTTTTTTCTGATGATCCTGAAATCTCGAAATTCAAGAAATTTGAATTAGAAGATTCAAAACTTGGAAACTCAAACACTCTAAAATTCTAAAGTTTTTAAGATTTGAATATCGGTGAATGCAAACTCTTAATCATTTTTGCCACTTTTGCGAACCGTCGCCCTCTATTCAGGACTTTGGGATGTTGGAACTTGCCTCTGAAAAACGAAAATGCAAAATTTACCGATTTATCTACCAAATTGTTATCCCAAATTTGTTGATAACACAAAAATTATTCAAATTTCTACTTTCGATTTGAAACTAATGAAACTGGGAAAATCTTTGCTAGGGTTTCATTCAAACTGATTAAAAACAGTCAGACATTTTCATATTCATTCCTGAACTCTCTACAAAAAACCAAAAAAATTGTCACCGATCGGGCTCGAACCCGCGTAGCGCGGGCAAAAGAGCGGGCACAGTGCGTTAACCGCTACACCACGGGTCGCCAGTGAGGGAGGGAGAAATGGCGTACACGTGTGTGGGATTTCCTCCCCCATTTCCTCTCTCGCCCTCCTCCCTCCCCTTTCTGCTAACCTTCTTTTACTGTGGTGAAACAAAGGAACGTCTCCAGAAGATTTCAAAATCGAAATTCCGAAAATAGAAAGGCTCGGGCCATAACTAATAAAAATTTCCGATTCGCCTGCCCAGGTTTCAGCTCAATCGGTTAACTTTGAATGGGTGAACCGTCACGCGACATACATCCTCACATACGGAATTTGGTGAATGTTATTAGTAATGATTATATTATGAGACTTCGTCTATGACACTCCGCTATACCACTGGCTGTTTTCTATCTGAAAATTGTCTCATTTGACAAGTATTGTCAGTGGAACAACGGAGTGTCGTATTGAAACATCCCTTCTTTCCATTATCATTTCCATAACTCCCGTTCCAATTATCGCTGATTGTTCTTTCAAAAATAATTCCTAATAAATTCGGCACTTTCTTCTGAGTTAATTCTGTGGGCACAAGGGGCGCAGAAATCAATTATTCGGGACACATCGAGATGAATCACTCGAATCTTTTTTTACTGGTTTCGTCAGAAGCGAAGGATGCGCAACTAATCTCGAATTTTAACTAAAAAAAGAGAAGACCGTAAAGAAGACCATGAGATAATCAGATGAACTACACATACGAGACTGTGAGAGAGAAGTTTAATTAGATTGTAATTGTATTGTAATGAGGTGCTCAAAAAGCATTTGGTGTTTCTTCAAAGGCTTTGGACCAATGAAAAAATTTATGGTATTGAGTAAATCCCGTCTCTTCAGTGTTTATCGAAGAAACTAGGTAAAATGTTCATTTCCATTCAGTTCTTTGAAAACATTAGATTGGTGCAGGTGAAAACATATAAAACATTGGGTTGGAGAGAAGCATATTAATGCATTCTAAAAGATCATGTCGGTGGGTTCATACAATAAAAAGGTATTATAGGATGTTACGAAGAATCGAAGATGAAATAGGGGAACCTTTACCATTGTTCATTTTCTCCTTCTTCATTCATTTCTTCTTCTTGCTCGTTGATATTCATTATCCATTCTGGTATTTCTTTCCCTGCTTCCTGGAGAATATTCACGAGACTGGGGATGATTTCTCTGTCACTTTCCTCATCGAGAAACGTGGTGGATACGCCAGTGAATCCAGCTCTAGCGGTTCGTCCAATGCGATTCACGTATTCGTCGAATCCTTTCTTATCAGGCATATCATAGTTGATCACATGATCGAGACCTGCGATATTCAATCCGCGAGCACAAACATTCGAAGCCACCATACATTGAAACTTTCCATGACGGAAGTCATCGAGAGTACGATCACGTTGTTCTTGGTTCTGACGACTATGCATCTGAATACATGATTCTTGTACCAAGAAAAGGTTTTAAAACATACTGAAATACAGGAAACACCGCAACTAGAAATATTCGAAGCGAGCGTATCACAGAATTTGACGGAATTGACAAAAATCAATGTTTTCTCTTTCTCAATGCGAGCATCAGGAAGAATGGACATTGTGTTTTCATCGAAACCAAGGAGTTTATACAACTCAGATCGTTTCTCAGAACGAGGAACAGGAAGAATATGCTGATCGATATTAACATTAGCAGTTCCAAACTTGTCCACTTGGAGCATTGTGTATCCCTCTTTGACAATTTTCGGCAGGTCTTGAGCTTGCAAACTTTCCGAGAATGAAGCACTGAAAAATATGGATTTAAAAATTTGAAAACTATAAAATATCACCTGAAAAGAATAGTCTGTTGAGTGCGCTCTTGTGGTGAACCAATGATCTTATTCACTTCTTCTCCAAAATCGGTAAAGTCGACCATGCGATCAGCTTCGTCTAGTACAACGAACTTCATCTTGTCAAGAGTGATATCGCCCGACTCCAAAAAGTCATTGAGACGTCCCATTGTGGAAACAAGAATACCGAGTTGCTGAAAAGTATATAATGCAAATCAAATAACAACAGAATTTTTAAACTAACATCAAAATTAGAAAGATGTTGAAGGTTTGCACTGCGAGAGTATCCACCATATGCCAATCCACACTTGAGTCCTGTTTGATAGGTTAATTGGCGAGCAGTGTTGAATGTCTGATTTGCTAACTCCCGAGTCGGTGCAATAATGAGAAGACTGAAAATGACATCCGATGCTTTTTTTCATAAAATTTGACAGTACCGCGGAGACGGCTTTTCATCCTTGACGTTATAGTTTTGTAGGCGATCCTCGAGCAAGTTGATCACCAATGGGAGCAAGAATGCCACTGAAATGATTGGGCGTTTTTGTGAATAACACTCAAACAGAAAACAAATTATAACTAACAGGTTTTTCCACTGCCTGTGTGAGCACAAGCGACGACATCATGTCCATGTAAGATTTGATAAAAAGCAGCCTTCTGGATCGGAGTAGGTCGGTTCATCTTCATACGAGTTAGATTGTCATGAACTTCTTGTGGAAGCACCTTGAACGCTTCAAATGTGGCAACATCCGGAATAACGTTGTCTCCCATTGAAGCAACAACTTTCTGTTCGAAGTTCATTCTATCGTCATTGTTGACAGCTTCACTGAACATATCTTCTTCTGGAGCAAAAACCACGTCGTATGAAACCAGAATGTTGCCTTCTACTGAAAATCAAACCAATGTCGTTAGTATGATGTTGTTAGACAACGGTAGTTATTGGCTATCAGGCGTCTATCCCAAATTTTCAAGATGACCATGAAAATATTTCCCGTTTAAAATTATAAGAGAATATGGCTAAGTATTTTGAATGTTGACACACTATTATTTTCAGCCCATTTTTAGATGCCCCCGAAAATGTTTTTTACACAACGGACTGAACGGCTCAGTATCCAAGGGTACATCGGAAAAGAGTACATCGAGTTCTTAGGGTACATTGGATCAGAGGGTACATCAGTTCTTAGGGTACATCTGAGAAGTAGGTTTAAGGGGTACATCTGGCGTTGGTTCTGAGGGTACATCGGAGAAAGGATCCCAGGGTACATCGACAAGTTCTTAGGGTACATCAATTAAAAATTTTGTAGTTGTCAGCTGGGAGATATTTAGGTTTCACTGCACTATTTTATTTGTTTTTTTTTGTCGATTTGTTTGAAAATGTACAGTTTTTCATAGTTTTATTGATTGACCAGCAAGCTGGTGAGCCTTCGGCGCGATTCCATCTATTTTTTTTCAAATCTTCGTTTCTCACTTTTTCTAAATAAAAGGGTCACGTAAATATATATGTATTTTTCAGTTTTTTCAAAAGTCCACAGACGGACACGAGGACGGACAGACGCCTCTAGCGTTTTATTAATAAGGAAGATTTGTTTATTGGAGCTTGTATCCACAGAATGCGATAGATGTACTATTACATTTTGAGCCTGCCGAAGAAAACAAATCCTTGGAATATCGCAACATGATGATACCTTCAAAAACAACAAGAGGGCCGACCGGCGACATTAAGAGATGATTTTGAGAGCAAACTCATGTCAACAAAAAACCAGTTTTATTAAAAATTAATGAAAACTACTACTGTTTATTACGAATTATCTGGTCCTAGTTTCTGTATCCCAATCTTTCTGGCGCTTTTACATCGCGTTTCGGCAGTTTTCGTGGAATTGCAGTGGACTGCAATGTACATTTGGCGAGTTCAGTTTGTTCCAACGCTCTTTTCGCAGATTTCCTGCTGGAAGATCTGTAACAAATAAGATTTCTAGTTTAGCATGCAACATTATATTCTTACCTAAAATTCGTAGTAGAGGACTCATTTTTCTTTTCTACACGGTCATTCGTTCTATTCAGTCTGTGCATTTTGTCTTCTTTGCCACTATCATCCGTGTCGGCGTACATATATCCATGGAAAAACTTCTCCTTGAGTGAAGGCGAGCGAACATTATGAGGAGAGCCGGAAGATGAACTGTGACTTATAGAACTGTTAATTCTTAAGATCGAATCGGTGATAATATCAATATTATCGTCGCACGAATTGCTGATTACAGAATTTTCTGGTCCTTCTGTATCCACGAAAGATTCCAACAGTATCCACGAAAGATTCCAACATCAGTGTTCATTGTAGTGTTTTCCTTTTCAATGAGCAGAGTCTCATCGGTTCTTCCTTGGCCGTCAGTGTCCTGCAGATCCTCTGTAGAAGCTTCTGATTCCGAGCCTTCGATTCTAAAGTCCAATCTAAATACACATAACGCATCAGAAAACTAACCCATGGATAGTTCGAGAAAAGTTTTTCCGGGAGTTCTTAGCAAATTTTCGCCGGTATCGTCTAGATTCATTCTTTCTCCCGTTTATTGACTTTTCCTTTTGTTTCTCAGTGAGCGATTGAATAAATTCGGTGAAATTTTTCAAAGCATTTGCTAAGCAATAACTTCATTATTTTTTCCAAATCAACATCAATCTGGGTGATCTGAGATCCAACTCCTGTGAACTCAGGAAATTTGAAACAGTTGAGAGGAAATTATACTGTGGAGCTGAAATATGTTTTTTCTTTGTAAAAATCAATCTTGAAATTAGTCGTTCTCACCAATTCAACAATTTCTGCAAGACATCTTTACTTAAAACTGTGAAGTACTCGGCTTCGGACCACAAATCTGGAACCATTTCTACTCCAAGATTTTGAAATTCGAATAATGAGTCTAGGACTCAAAATTCAGACCCAAATCACTGCAATAATTCAAAAATTAATTATTTTCTGCGAAATTCTGCGAAAGAGTTTATGAAAAACGGCCAAAATTTATTGAAAATCGAGAAAATAGGACGAAAAATTAAAAAAAAAAGGAGCCCCGTAAATCGACACGGCCACTGCCACTGCTGGCCTAGAAAATTCTGGAAACTCTCCCATGGGAATTTTACGCATTTTTTGGAATACAAACACAAACATAGCAGTAAAGTACACGTTTTCGAGAGAAAAACGCATTTTTAGTATAAAAAATTTTTTAAAGCACAGGGAGATAAGACACGGAAGCGAGCGATTGGACACAGCGACGGAAACCACTGAAATCAATGACCTGGCCTAAAAATTAAAAACTTCAGACAAAATTACCCTATTTTTGAGCTCTTCACTAATTTGGGAAGACAAAAAAGAGATGTTTCATAGTTTTGCTGTCTAAATCGGGATTTCTGCATTCTCATCAAGACTCTCAAGCTCTCATCGGTTTTCGTTTCGTCTCCACAGAATTCGAAACCTACAGAAAAATAAAACAGAGAGAAAACTAAGAATACGGGAAGTTCAGTCCTAATTTTCAGGAGTTTCAACTAGCCAGTACTAGTTTACATGTCTTGTCTTGGAAAACCTTCCGGAAATTGTTGCTAATTCCACCTTCAAACTTTCTTCCTGCTTTAGAAACCACCGAAGATATGTACGGGTCGCGGTGGGCAAGGTGAAAATCGGTGAAGTAGTCTAGGGGTGAGCGTACGTGCACACAGGTCCTGGGCGATGATGCGCATAAAGGACCCGATCCATATGCGATCCTCTAGAAGTCCGTTTGACACATATCGCGAACAACGAGCTGCGATGAGTCTCATATGTGTGCGATGCGGGAGAGGCTGAATCGAGTGTTCCGAATGCGCGCGTATCCGGATCCGCATTGCAAGCGTGTGCCCCATATGCCCCGTATATGCCCCATACCGGCGTCCTTTCCCTGTACCCAATTCATCGGCGCGTCCTCCGTCGCCCATCCATTATGCGTATGCGCGCCCAGGACCTGTGCACGACAAAATGCAGAGGCGAGTTCAAACCCTACCTCATCCACATTTTTTGTTTCTGTGAAATTGAAAACAAATTTCGTTTTGGAGTCTTTTTAGTGATTTTATAGATACATGTTTCCAAATAAAAATCCGAAAAGTTTCCGAGAGCTTGAATTTTTTAATTCATGATGTTTCCTGTTCTGGAACATTTGAAGAGAGTTTTTGGTTGAAAGTTACTCATATTGTTTTGATAAAAATCGAATTTTCCACCTTTTTTGTACAGCGAATTTCAGTATGATAAGCTCCAGGAAAACAAGCTATAATAAATGAATCAATCAAAAAAAATAAATAAAAAAACTGTACATTTTCAAACAAATCGACAAAAAAAAACAAATAAAATAGTGCAGTGTAAACCTAAATATCTCCCAGCTGACAACTACAAAATTTTTAATTGATGTACCCTAAGAACTTGTCGATGTAACCTGGGATCCTTTCTCCGATGTACCCTCAGAACCAACGCCAGATGTACCCCTTGAACCTACCTCCCAGATGTACCCTGAGAACTGATGTACCCTCTGATCCAATGTACCCTAAGAACTCGATGTACCCTGGATGTACCCTTTTCTGATGTACCCTTGGATACTGGGCCGGACTGAACCGATGCATGTAAAATTTGTTACATATTTAAACAGCTTCACACTCACGATCGCGTGGTCGAGTTGGGCACTCGGAAGCCCAATGTCCTTCTTCATTGCAACGACGACAAGGCTCCGTAGGTTCGATGCGTACACGCTCCTCGGGGCAATCTTTTGCGAAATGTCCCTCTTTTTGACAGTTTCGGCACGGCCCGAACGGAACTTTAGGCTTATCGCAATCCGTTGAGAAATGTCCGACTTCGTTGCAGTTTCTACATGGTAGGTTTGGTTGTTTCGGCTTTGGACATTCTCTTGAGAAATGACCTTCTTCTCCACAATTGTGACAACCGCGAGGTTTATCACCACCAAAGTTTTGGGCATCCTCTCCCCAGCCTCCGCCATTTTTCGTGCTCTCAACTATAAAAATTACTTTGGACTGAAATTTAGAATGTTCTCACCGTCAAACCCATCGTCCTTCTTAAACTGACCAAAACTACCGAAAGCGGGTTTATTGGTGTTTGAAGCTCCAAACCCATTCCCACCGAATGCGCTATCTGCAGCCTGATCGTTTCCCGACTGTCCTCTGAATGAAGAATGCTTTGCTGTGGAACCGAAAGCACTTCCAGCTCCAGTTGATTTAGATCCAAAACCTCCAGGAAAATAAGATGATCCGAATCCAGATGTCCCAAATCCAGTTGCACTGGCGTTGGCGCCAAAAGTACGAACAGATTCCAAAGACGCTTTATTTTCAGATGCAGAAGATGTTCCGAACCCAGATGTCTCAAAACCAGTTGCACTGGCGTTGGCTCCAAAGGCACGAACAGATTCGGTAGGCGCTTTGTTCGCAGATACAGAAGATGTTCCGAATCCAGATGACTTGAATCCAGTTGCACTGGCGTTGGCGCCAAAGGTACGAACAGATTCCGAAGATATTTCGAATCCAGTTGCACTGGCGTTGGCTCCAAAGGTACGAACAGATTCGGAAGACGCTTTGTTTGCAGATTCGGAAGATGTCCCGAACCCAGATGACTTGAATCCAGTTGCACTGGAGTTAGTGCCAAAGGTACGAACAGATTCCGAAGATGTTCCGAATCCCGTTGCACTGGCGTTGGCGCCAAAGGTCCGAACAGATTCCGAAGACGCTCTATTTTCAGATGCAGAAGATGTTCCGAATCCAGATGTCCCAAATCCAGTTGCATTGGCGTTGGCGCCAAAGGTACGAACAGATTCGGAAGACGCTTTGTTTGTATTCACACCGAAATCACTTCTAGTTTCAGAGAATTTATCAGACTGAGGTGCAAAACTGGCGGTGTTCATTCTTGAATCGGTATTCACTCCAAATGTTTTCGGTTGAGTCGGGCCGCCAAATCCAGCCCCTCTTCCGAATCCGAATGATTTCGTATTTCCTTCGACATCCGGTTCATTTTGTTTGGACTCCGCAGGAAAGCCGAATCCAGACTGCTCCGGTCTTCCGGTTTGAGCAACCTCATCCAATGCTGGAGATTTGCCAAATGAGACAGTTTTTGGGATTTCTTTGACGCATTGTGGTTCCGGCTTATAATTTTTCTGAGAGTCAGAGCCGTTGGGATAAGACGCGGCCGACTTTGCCTGAGAAGAAGTTATGTCATTGTTAGCAGTTTGAACTGGAGAAAGTGCTCTGAAATTGAGAAATTTATCTCTGGCCGCTTTTATCTCCATTACCTTGGCGAATCTATATCGAACGTGTCATCAGTTGATGCCGCTGGGACCGGTGCGCGCGTAATTCTAACAGGAGGCAGCATGCTGCTAGTCTTAGTGATAATCGGTCCACGAAATCCATCGTCTTTTCTTGGACTGTAAGTGAAACATTATTAATGCACTCAATGGGAACACAAACCTTCCCCATCCATCGTCGCTATCATCTGCAGCAGCTGAACTGTCCACTTTCATTGTGCCCATCTGCAAGGACACCTCATTGCTTGGGCGAACATCAGCCATTTGAGGTTCCAGCGCGGTATCCAAGTCAACGAGTTCCGCGGTATGTTCTTCGATGGTTTCCATCTTCATCCGTGATTTCTCGACCTCTGATTTAGGAAATGGCTTGAATCCCATTTCAGTTATTGGTTTCACAGGAGCTGAATGATTTCAGGTATTTTCGTTTGAAATCGCACTTACCTGGAGTTGGCACCACATTCTTCCGCTCAACGGCAACTTTGACCTCCGACTCTTCGATGTCGCCCCATCCATCGTCGGAGAAGCTGGAAATAAACACTATAACCAAATTTTAGAAAATAATTTTTACCTCATTGTGTGTAGATTTTATTAAGAAGTTTGTTGATTAGGTCTGTAATTAAAATTATCTATTTCTCTAGAAACATAATGAACAATGAGGACAAATTAACACTGGAACGAAGTGAAGGTATCATCGCAGCTAACGATGTGGAATCGAATCACTTCTGCTGAAGAGAAAAACGGCAAAATTTTTGTTTTTATGAAACTCGTAGTTTGAGATTAGTTCTCGCCGGTGCTACGGTAATGGGGTCTGAAATTCCAGCCAAATTTTCAAAGTCGATTTTGACACCAAACTTTGACAAAAAGTTTCCTATAGTTTTCTCCAGTTTTCCCCAAAGTTTCAGCCAGATTGGAACACTCTCCGAGTTTTCGCGGTTTTTTTTTCCTTTTTTGCCGACTCCCTGAATAACCCCATAAGAAATTATTCCTGCACATCAAACTTTGAAAGCTCATGGTTGGTCCCGCAGCGAAAACAACTACGGTTTTTTGAATAACTGCACGCGCCGTCGATACCGTACTTTGGAAATTTTCTAGTTTGATCAATTTTTGGTTTTTTTTCATTTCATAAGGAAATTCAGCTGATTATTCAAGAGAATCTGAAAAAAAATCAACAAAAAAAGCAGAAAAAATCTTTATTATGAAGTTCTTCGTTTTCTTTCAAGTTATTCACAGTATTCGTGTTGAAATCTTCAGCAGGTCCGCCTTTTGCGAATTCCTGCTGCTGGAACCGTTCACCGGCTCCCATGATTTGTGAAACTCTGCTAATTTTCCTCACAAAATGTCCATAATTCCTGGAATGTCATGATCACTGTTCGATCTCAACTGCCGATGATCTGCGTTAGTAATGGAGTCGCAATAGTTAGTCGACTTTGTTGGGTGTCGTTTCAAAAAGGGACACATTCAAGTTTTACAGTTCGTATGCCTCAAAATCAATTCCGTTTGATGATGTTGGTTCGTAGTGTTCTTCGACCTTCTAATAAATCACAGTTGTTGTGATACCTGAACTATCTGACATCAAGAAGTTCGCAATGTATTCATGTCGAGTACAATATTTTTGGAAGCATTTTTTTATTGAATACAGAAAAACTGTCCAAGTCGATTAAGCTCTGTTTTTTTTTCTTGGAAGCATTCTGGACCTTCTCTCTGATAACTGAAGCACTGCAAACAAAATTTCATTTTTTGAGATGAGCACTGAAGGTGTATGTATTTTGGCGCGTTCAAAGTTGATTTCCAGGAGTATTTTCCTGGAAAAACGATGTCCAAAGCTGCCATTGTTTTCCAGAGGCCTCCGCTTCGAGACTCGCCGTAAATCGACATGAATCAACAGGAAGAACACAGCCAAAACGAGTGATACAGTAGTTTACTGTTGCTGTAAATCTGAAAACATTCGCAGCTTTGGACAGCGTTTTTCCAGGAAATTACTCCTGGAAATCAACTTTGAACGCGGCATTTATTACATTGAACAATATATAAATTGAGTTGTCCCTTGTTTTGTTTTTATCAATCGCATCGTAAAATCTATAAATTGATGCAATGCATTGTTCAGAGCAGACAAGCATAATATTTCCGAAGCATTTTCTTGAATTTTTGACTACAGTATGTCAAAGGCGCATGCGAAAAAGTTTATTGCGGGCCTCGAGCGGAATTATTTCTGATACTTTTTTTGTTTTTGAAATCAGTTTGTGTCAAATTTTCTCACAATTTATGCGCTTTTGTGATGGAAAAGTGTGATTTCTAGTTTAAAACTTGTATGTTGAAAAGTTCCGAAAATTCCGAAAAATTGAAAATTGGAGTATTCCGAAATTCCGAAAAACTGAAAATCGGAATAATCCAAATTTCCGACAGTCCGGAGAATTTAGAAAAGGCTATTCCGAAACAGAATTTCAGAAAAATGTGTTGGAAAATTTATTTTTACTCTAAACCGCTAGGGAAAGTGATAGATTTTAATACATCCAGAATTTTTTTAGAAATTTGGAAAAAAAAACAGCATCAGTAAAAATAGGAGTGCTTCCTCTGATTGAAGGGCCCCTGTGATAGAAGGGCATGTTTAATCCAGACGTTTTACGGTCAGCATGTTCACGTGTTATCGTTTTCCACCGGCATTCCTCGCAACTAATGTCTTTTGACGTCTCATTTTGTTATTGTGAAAAAGAAAAACCGACAGAAAGGAGGAGCGGTGGCGCGAGTGAAGAGACACAGAGCGGAGATACATGTCAATATTTATTTCAACTGCCTCGTTTTCGTACACTTTTTCTGCGTCGATATGCGCGCGATGTCGACAGCAAAGGTTTCCTGAAAAGGGCATATCATCTTCTTGGCGGATCATTGTGATAGCTGTCTCGAAAGCCCAAAAAATTGTGTTGATCAGAAAACTGGCTAGGAATTTCTAGGAGTTTCAGTATTTACAGCTAGAAGTTTGGAAACTAGAATACGCTTTTTTGGATATAAGCAAAGAAATTGATATCTTCTACAATAGCGCCAGAGTCCAGGAACTTTTAACAACCAGGTGTCTTCTTCAATAGCCCATTCTTTTCTTATTCATTGTTATTTTGAAACGGTGTTGAAACAAGTAGGAGAGAAGATTCTCGACTTCCTTTGGTTGGCCGATGCAAAATTGCTGCAACCACCAATGTCGCGTCGTTGTCGGTCTCTACACTGGCTCATCACCAACTGTAAGAGGGTATATGCAACCTGTGTCTGCCTGCGCCTCTTAATGCAAAGCACATAAGGCCGCATGTCTCCTCGTTTCTCTCGCAGCCTGACTTTCTTGGTTGGTCGTCGCCCGTTCTTTTCACAAATAACGCCAAAGTGAAACACAGTCTGTTTGGGCTGGTGTCTTTCTTTTCTTCTTCTACCTCCTTCTCATTGCTTCAAAAGACAGCCAGTAGGCGACCGCCTCGCACGACCGCCACGCGTCGCCTTGCCTTCTAATCGTTATTATATTCACTACTATTGGAAGACACCCCACGACTTGTCTCGCACTCTCCGCCCGGGTTCCCGCTCCCTATCATCTGACTGCCGAGCTTGTCTGCGTCTCTGAACAACACCACTACCCTCGTCGATTCGCATCGCCCTCGCGGCCCTTGACATCCGTCTTTTTGTGGGTTTCCTTGAAAATAAGCTTGTGTGTATGTGCCTTCTCATCGTCTCATCTCATAAAAAACACCCAATCATTCGCATCTTTTCAATTACATCTCTTGTTCTTTACCTCCGTAAAGTTTAATGATTTCCGAGCGATCTTTCATTGTCTTTTTTTCAACGGTTCCAGTTAAAAAAAATTATCGTTCAACTACTTCAGACTAATCTCGGTAAAAAATTGAATCGCGTACAAACCATTTCCAAAAGGATAGCGACCGGACGAAGGTCGCACGAAATGGTCAAGTGACAAAGATTGAGCCGCCGAGAATGCATGGAGCCGGCGAACAACAGCAGCAGCAAAATGGGCAACATCATCGTTACAGATTGGCGATTCGCATGGATGAGGTAAGAAACCAAACTCACCTGATTTCTTGATTGGAGGCCTTACGGCTCAAAGTTGGAGCATCAAGCAGATAATCGCTCCAATGTCTCCAGATAAATATGGTATTTTAGTAGTAAGTAGCACTATGTGTCTCCCTTTCGTCATTCATTTGGTTTTCCACCCAATCACTTTTAACGACCATCTTGCGAAATTCATTTCTTGAACTTTCTTTGAATCAAATCGATTTTTCGGTCAATTCAATAACATCGCCTCGTGATGGTTTCATTCGTTTATGTTATTTTTTGAGGTCGATGCCGGGAAAGTTTCCAAAATGACATGTTCCCTCTGATTTATTTGATGTTTTGAGTAATAGGGTCTTTCGAAAAATATTTCTTACGAAATTTGATAACCGCATCAACTCCATTCCCAGGAAGCAGTTTCATTATAACTTTATTATAACTTTTATAGTCTAAGAGTTCTTAGAGTTTTGGAGCTTGTACTTTTTCCGAGATAAACAACTAAATAGTGCAGAAAGTTCATTTTTGTTGGTGATTGCAAGTATAAGAATGCCCTTACCATAGATTCCTTTTCGTAGAATTTAATCTTCATAGTGATCTGTCTCCCACTCCGTTTATCGGTTTCATCTCGCCACCGACACATCAATTTTCTATTTTCTGACGATCCAAGTTTTTAACAAAAGGGGAAATGTGTGTTTTACATTAACTTTCTATATTTCATCACCCAGTTAAACGCTGCACTAACTGGCGTTGTTGGGCAGCCGGTCCAGGACAGTTTGAAAGTTAAAATTAGCCGGATGATCTAACTACTAGCATGTACAACATCCACTTGAATCCTGAGTTAGATCCAGCATTATTTCTTCATCTTTTCAGCAACAACAACCAACCGCGTCTTCTCGGCAGCATCCTCGACATGCGAACCCAAGTTCCCTGCAGACCAGTATGATGTGCACACCCACAAGTGCTACAGCAACTATTTCTGGGAACACCGGAGGCCAGCGATTCCAGCCAAAACGTATTGGGGATCCCATAAAGCTAGGAAACAGTATCTTGGAACCTGCTGGTACTCTAGTTTTTCATAAAGACAAACATGGGATTCCAAGTGGCAATAAAAAAGCAGTGAGTTTTTGACTATTTTTATGGTAAAACGAGTACGTTATGAATATAAGAAGAATTTGAGCCTAAGCCTATTTTAAACAAAAAACTGACACTTCCAAAAATACATAACTGTGAAAAAAGTACTGAAATTCGCGAAAATCAGCAAAATTCTCACATTTTTTCGCTGAGGTTTCCAAAATTTTATTATTTTCTGTACAAATCAAAGGCTTAGGCTGAAACGGTTAACGGAAAACTGGTGTTTTAGCCTAAGCCTATAATATGAGACAAAAATCGGAAACTCCCAAGGGAAGTACCCGAAGTGTCCCCTCGCTTTTTCTTATATATTGGTGGCAAAAAGTGTTCCTTCTCCGGACTAGCACAAAACAAATAATATAAGGTGCCCATATGCAGGTTGAGCAGAATGGCAAAACTTTTTGTAATTTTTCAGAAAAAGTGGATCAAGTTCATTCAAAAAATCATAACTTTGTACAGAGCAAAGGTAAAATTACAGACTAACATGTATCGTGTACAACAAATTTTTAGAGCAAATCATCATTTTCTCAATGACACCTATATTCTATCTTGGAGAAGAAATTTACTAGGTGGGGAAGTGTCCGAATGGTCCGATCGTATGAAATCAAAAAATGTCGATTTTCGAAAAAAAAACCTTTGTTAGACTATGTCTATCCGATTCCTTTCATGTCATAATTCACAACTATAGTCTCAAATATATAGCTCACCGTTCATTAAAGAGGGATTACATGGCATTTTTTAAAACTCATTTTTCCATATACATCATAAAAGCTCTGAGAACAAACGATTCAGTTGATTTAGTTGTTTTTTGACAGAAAACTATCAAATCGTGATCAAGGAGTCAAAACTTTCGAAAGAAAATTTCACATGTTGAAAGTGAGTATGTAGAGGGGTACATGGAATTGACAATTGAAACTTTATTTTTTCAAAAATCTCTCTTAAATGAACGGTGAGCTATATATTTGAGACTATAGTTGTGCATTATGACATGGAAGGAATCGAATAGCCATGGTCTCCCAAAGGTGTTTTTTCGAAAATCGACATTTTTTGATTTCACACAGTCGGACCATTCGGACACTTCCCATCCTAGTAAATTTCTTCGCCAAGATAGAATATAGGTGTAACTGAGTTTTTTGTAGCCGGTAATTCGTTAGTCTGTAATTTTACCTTTGCTCTGTACAAAGTTGTGATTTTTTGAATGGACTTGATCCTGAAAAATCACAAAAAGTTGTGTTATTCTGCTCAACCTGCCTATGGGCACCTTATATTATCCGTTTTGTGCTAGTCCGGGGAAAGAACCATTTTATGATACCAATATCTAAGAAAAAGCGAGTACTTCCCTTGTCCAATAAATTCAGTCAAAAAGTACTATAAAACAAAAAAGTGTAGTCAAAGAGACTTTGTAGCATACATGTGGATGACCGGGCCGGCCCGCTTGCCTCAAAACCCTCGGCCCGGCCCGGCTATATATTATCCGTTTTCGGCCCGCCAAGGACAACTTTTCGAAAATGTTACTTTTCAAATGTGCCTATATATTCTTAATAGCACAAATATTAATCCAAATGCATACAACCATCCGAAAAAGTCAATTTAATTGAATTTTTAGCAAAAAAAAATCAAATTTCTTTAAGCCAAGGATGAAATTTTTTTTTCTAAAAACGACCTCAACACAGTTTTTTTCGACAGAATCGTCCTCTAGTGTGGATTTTTATTTATTAAGGAGAAAAGCCAACTTGAAAAATGATGATTTTCTCCAAAATTTCGAAATTTTCAAAAAGCGGGCCGGCCATGTGTAATTTTTTCCGGCCCGGCCCGCTTTCAGAAAAATCTCAGCCCGGTCCGGCCATCTTTTCTACAAGTATGCTTTGTAGTCAAAGAGACAAGTGTAGTCGAAGAGATAAATGTAGTCAAAGAGATAAATGTAGTCAAAGAGATTTTATAGTCAAAGAGAATGTGTAGTCAAAGAGTGGTGTAGTCAAAGAGTAATTGCCTAATTTTTTGAGAATTTTTTAACAAAAAAACTAGTTTTCGAGAGAAAACTGTTATTTTGCATCAAAAATGCAATTTTTTCTTCGATATCAACTTTGGAAAAATTCAGGAAAAAATATTTTTTCAAAAATTTGTTTAAGCATTCACAAAATCAATATTAACAATTTAGCTTAAAACTAGATGATAAAAACAGTTTTTTCCCAAAAAAAAAACACAATTTTTTGCCCAAAAATCGAAGCTGGTGCCAACTGGCCGGGCCGGGCCTGGCCTTGACCAATTTTTTGAAGGCCTGGCCCGGCCCGTTGCAAGTATGGTATTAATTATTTCCAAAACATGCGATATCATGTCAGCTTTAAGAGCTCATTATGTTTAGTTATTAGTTTGGGAAATGGCTCAAAATTTACTCATCACCTCAAGCATTTCTGTTTTGCACTTTTCTTTTTTCCCTTTAGAGTATTAATTCCAAAACATGCGATATCATCCCAGCTTTAGGAGCTCATTATGAGCTCCTCTTATTTTTTTGCACTTGTTTGAAAAAATCCCTAGAGAATTGTTGCCATGATAACAACATCATAACACTCAGAAACATACCGTGAAATCTGTATTAATATTGCATGCAAGTCTATTGTTCAAGTCACCTCAAGGGGTGCAACTCTATTAGAGGGGCAATTCAAATAGAGGCTGCAATTCTATTTTTCAAACTACAATTTGAGGTTATAATTTTGAAAAAAAAACAGTTATGAAAATCGACAAAAAAGTAACACTGCTGCAGATGCAATTGTATTACGGGGGCAATTCAATTAAAATCTGCAAGTCTATTTTTCAAGTGCCCTCAAGGGGTGCAAGTCTATTAGAGGGGCAATTCAAATAGAGGCGCAATATTAATACAGATTTTACGGTATTTCCTAAAAAAAATGATGAACATATTATCGGACAACTAAAGTTGATAGTTGAAAAAAGATCTTGAATTGATGTAACTTTTGTAGGTATAGAAAAGAATCAAACGGAGCTATTATCCTTGTCTGAGAAAAAAAGGTTGAGACGCAGAGAAAAAGTGTCTGTGTCTCCACCTTATGTGTGCTATTTAGACTCTCCGCTTCGATATCGCTACCGTATTCAGACTGCAAAAAATACTCTCTAACCTTTTTTTTCTCAGACAAGCATAATATAAAAATTCCAAAGCCAAGTTTAGCTGACAATTCCTCACTTTTATTCTATAAGTAAAAATATACACATTTAGAGAAGCATTTTTATAAGAGAGTTTTTCAGGTCGTAGCAAATCTTTTTTCGATTGGTCCATCTCCAGTGTTGGCTCTGCCACCGGTACAAATACAAAATGGAAATTGGTATGCCATATCTCAAAATCAACCGTCCACTAGCAGTGCCAGCAACGTAATTAGCTTGGTTCCGCTGAGTAACAATCATCCGCCAGCAACGTCATCTGCAACTCCTGACTCTGGAATTCAAAGTGTTCCCACATCACCGCCTAGTCCAACTTGTGGATTCCTCAACGATCGAAAATCGGAAACAGTTCAACAGAAGCAAAAAGAACAAGAAGATGATGATGATTTCGAAGATTTTGCGGATATGCCAACGTTGAAACCAGTAGACGAAGAAGATTTTGAATATGATTTGCCGTCCACCAGGTAACTTAAAATACGTAATCGCCGTCTTTAAAATGAATTTTCAGTTCTGGACCTTGCTTAACAGACATAAACAAGACAGTACCAAATCCAGTTCATTCGACAACATCAACGCCTCTGCCGACACAAGAAGATTTAGCAAATGGAGTGAATGCTGAGGAGATTTTATCTTTTGCTCCAAATATGGACTCAGACGAGATTGTGCGAAGAATATTGACGTTTGCTCCAGAGAAAGCCGATTCAATCGCCATGCTCATCAAAAAACGTTCTGCCGAAGGAACGAAGAAGAAGAAGAAGGACATGGAAGCAGAAGTTTCATCTACAACACCCACCACACCACGTGTCCGTGGCTCGAGACGCAAAAGCACGTTCGTTGGAAGAAGCACCAATTCGCCGGATGTGACAACGAGCAACTTGCCACCAGAACCTAGTACCTCTTCTATGTCAGAAGAAACTGACGAGACGGAGAAGGCAGAAGGAAAGCGGAGAGGGAGAAAGCCCAAAAGAAAACGAGTTATTCAAAGGGACGAGTCCAAAGATGTAGAAGTCGATGTAAAAAAGGCCAAGGTAATTGGGAATATTTAGTAGGCATACAATTAACTCTGTTTTTCAGTGTGAACAACAGGAGCATCCAGAAACGTGCGATACTGTGGAAACAACATCCCCGTCCCGTCCAGAGTCAGCTGCTAGCACGACAGTAGATCCGGTCCAATTTCGTTTGAAAATTCGCGAAATGATGGAAAGACAATTGGAGCAGTTGACTCAAAAAATGAGCGATGATATGACAGAGTTGCGTTTGGGGCATTCAACTTCTTTAAAAATTGGTGTTGGAAAAAGGAAAGAATCTTTCCTTCGACAACTCAACGAACAAAGCAGGAAGTTGCGGAAGTCAGGTGTTCCGACAGCGAAGCGGATGCGAATGTTTGCTACAGACTTGAAGGATGACGTAGAAGGGGATTCATCAGATGCGAAGAAGGAATTTAAAGAATCAATACATTTCAAAATGAGGAGCAGAGTACCGTCTAGACGTTTGAACGCGGAAGAAACTCCAGAATATTCAAATGTTGAGGAGAAATTCAACGGCGAATACAATGAAATCACAAGAAGCGTTCCTTGGTCAGAAGATATTGTTTCTATTTGGAAAGCTCCAAGTTTAGCATGTGGATGTACAAAAGGAGCTTGCACGTCGGATATGGAATGCCTCAATAGGGCTCTTCGAATTCAATGCAGCAAGGAGTGTACGTTGTCATACTGTTCGAATCGTCGTTTTTGGAAAGAAGATTGTGATCAGAAGTTGCGTGTTTCAAATCGCTCCGAAGATACTATTAAAACTAAAACTGCTAGAAAAGCAGGAGAGTTTTTATGCGAATATGCGGGAGAAGTGATTACCTATGAAGAAGCCCGTTCGCGGTTTATCAAAAATCAGGATGCCAGAATAATAGCTATTGGGCCGCAGCTGTTTGTCGATGCTACCAGTCGTGGGAATCTTGCTCGTTTCATAAAGCATTCCTGCACACCGAACACTCGTGTGGAAATTTGGTCGGTCAATGGATCATACAAAGCAGGAATTTTCTGTCTTGCTGATTTATCATCCAACGTTGAGATAACTATGGACAAAAGTGGTTTATTGCCTTTCGATATATCATGCAACTGCTCATCACCAAACTGTAAGAAGATCGTTCGAGGCATGAGACGTGCTATAATTGCATCAGCAGAAGATACGACCACAATAGAAACTCGAAGGTTTTTACAACGCAACCGTAGAAAGACGATCAGAAGTTCTCGAAAATTCGGAATCCCATCTATTCTTCTATCTACTGATTCATCACTCGTATTGCAAATGAAGCAGACTTTGGCTGCTTTCTCGTATCGAGCTCGGACAATAGGCGGTTCAATGCCACTATCAATGATCTCCTTTTATTCGTCTATCAAGAAATGGTTGGAGGTGAATTCAAGCAATCCGGATCCGGCCGAATTCATTTCACTTCTTCACAAATGGATCGCTGCCGCTGGAGACGAAGATTTGGAAAGATCATTCATGTAAGTTCACGAAAACCATTGAATTTATCAAAAAGTGTTTTTCAGTGCTATTGAATCTCACTACTTGCCATCATCTTTGTTATCATCAACACAGCAACCAAAAAAATCGATAGACAATGCTTCAAAAGCTAAGATAGCTTCTACTTCTTGTGTATCACCTGTTCCATCGAAACGCGGTGACGCCGATCTATCATATTTGGAGTCAGAATTTCCGGTTAGTTTCTATTCCAACACTATCCCAGTTAACTACTTTAACTTTTGAACGCCCGATTGCACTTCTCGTTTTCAGATTGGATCTTATGACCCGGATGATGCATGGGAGACATACCAGGCGAAATCTCGTGACAATGCCGTCCGTTGTACTTGTGGTGCTCTTGATGAAGACGGAGAAATGGTTCAATGCGATAAGTGTCACTTTTGGCTTCATATCGATTGTTGTCAATACTCCATCAAAGATGAAAAGGATTACATCTGTGAATTCTGTTCGAAAACAGGAGAGGATTGTCTCAAACGGCCTGTGGCTGATATCAAATTGCTGCAGCAACCGGAAGTGCGGTTTGAAAATTGCGTTTATTATCGATCACTGATGAACCGTCGTGGGATTCAAGTTCGTCTCAATGAAACTGTCTATGTCAACAGAGTGTTTCCCGATGACCATAAAGTTATGCTCCGTAGTTTACGCGAAGAAAAGAAAGGAGCCAAACATAAGGATCCAAACAAGTACCGGTTCCCAGAAGCTCCTACTGAGAAACTCGTCACAATGAACGTAGAAAGAAAAGATGCTCGCATATTTCGTGTTGAACGCCTGTTCGTCTGTCCTGGAAATAACCGCTTCGTCTTCGGATCTTTCTATGCATGGCCTCATGAAACTTTTGCCGACACCGGCAAAGTGTTCAGCAGAAGAGAAGTGTTTGCCACATCATACTATGAGACTTTGCCTCTTGATGAAGTGATTGGGCGGTGCTTGGTCGTGGATGTACCAACATGGATGAAAGGAAGACCCAAAGTACCGAAGTTCAAGGAAGAGGATGTTTATCACTGTGACATGCAAATTGGAAAAAATCAAAGAGTCTTCGAGAAAGTCCCACCTAAAAACAGATATCCTATCAACACACAGCCCTACGTTTTCGAAGAGTTTACAACGCCGAAAAAAGTCGTTAAAGATTTCAGAGTAAGAATTATGGAACAGTTCAATAACATCCTTTTCCAAATTTACAGCCGTACGACTCGTCAAATCATTCCCCAAAAACTGCGAAAGCTGCTGTAACTTCCAATTCTTCTTCAACTACCGTTTCTTCTAAAACCACGTCTTCAGAATCTCTGCACGATGTGAACATGAAGCGAATCTCTGAAAAGAAAATCGAAAAAGTTCTGAACCGCCTTGTTTCTTTAAATTCTAAAAAAACTTAGTTTGTATATCACTTCAAAACAATCCCCTCATCTCATCTCGTTTCTATGTTTCCTTTAAATCAGATATCATTTAGATTGTAGTTTCACGAGTTATGGTTTTTAGACCGGTGGCACTACATCTGTAATAAAACGAGCCATTCCCATCAGTTTTCTGTCTGGCCGTATAGAGTCCTCGTTTATAATAGTCCTGCTATAGATTTGCCATATTAATTGCACCCAGTTTTCCATTCATCGCCTCCTAATCGTTGAACGCATTCCTGATTCGTTATCAATTATAATTTCGGTCACCCGGTGCTCCCACCTATTTATCGTAATGTTAGCCGAATTGCTTATGTCTTTTCGAAACTCTAGTGAATCATTTTTTACGGTTACCACACTTCAATTACAGATGTCAACCTCTTGATTCTATGAACCTTCACCTCCCCACCATCGCTTTTGTATTCCTTAAATCCAATGATTATTTTCATGATTTATTCTCAATTGCCTGTCTTGTGTTATTACTCTCTGTATAATTATTAATGAAATGCTTCATTCAAAACAACTGTTCAACGCTTTGCAAATGCAAAATTACCCCAGCTAGTGAAACCCATTAGACCAAGATTCGTCCATTTTTTCGTATTAGTGTACTCGGCGACTTCTTCTGGAGATGAAGAATAATGAATATCCGATTGCTTCTCCGGGTTTTGGAATTCATAGATGGGCTGAATATCACCAAGACACCGCCGAGCAGATGATTCCTCGCGGAACACATATCCGGCTCTTTTAACCATCTGAAAATTGCCGTAACATTTAAAGTAGAGTGAATAATGAGAACCTCTTCATTTGGATCATCATCTCTCAATTTCAATCGATATGTCGTTGTAATTGGATTGAAAAACTCATAAATCAGTGTCATTTTTCCACATGCATCCGAAATTACAGCAACATTTGTCGTTTGATCAATCAACGAAATGTTGTAAACTTTGTCGAATTTATACTGTTTTAGATAACCATTATCACGGAAAGATGTGGTGAAAGCAACAAGTCCAGCTGAATTTTTGACCCGAATTATGGGACGGAGTCGTAGAAGAATTTTGTTCTGGAATAAGATTACGATAACGAGTTCTGGAAAATAGAAGATACTTACAAATACCACATTTTCGTATGGTTTAATAGCATTGAATGGGTAATGGCTGAAATGAGAGTTTTCAATCTCAAACAACACATTTAGAAGGGGGCCCTTCTAGTACAGGTTTTACCGTATTACTATTATTCTTGTACAGGAAAATCGGAGCTGTGGAAGTGAAACGCCGGTGGCCATAGCTGAAGGTTCCACAACGACAACTACAGTAAACTAAAAATATTTTTCTTTTCAGGATTGGTTTTCTTGTTTGCTTTTTGTCTTTTTTTTGTTCTGTCCTCCGGAAAATTGATATTTTCTATTGTGAAACACTTGACTGGAAGAGTATTCGAAAAAATCGAGAAAATACTTTGAAAATAAAATGTTTTTGGGTTACGGTAGTTGTCGTCGTGGGACCCGTACGGCAATCCCAGAAAACTCTTAATCCCAGAAAACCTACATTGTTCTATGTGGAACTGTTGCATTGAACAAATAACCAATAATTTTTGTGGGACGCCAAAATTGTCTATCCTCATTCCATCTTGCTTTCAGAATATCCTCATTCGATGAAGCGTATCTGAATTGTTTCAAAATTGGAGAAAACATTTCAACGAGTGCTCCATCAGTAGTTCCACAGTATCCAGGCCATGATCCAACATAGCCAGCTTCTTCTATTATTTCAGCAGTCTCGTTGTCCTTTAAGTCACTCCAACTGACTAGACGAGGCGATCCGTTAACAGAAACATGGAATACTTGAGTCAACTGCGGACACAAAGTGTCAATTACTTCACAATCTGTATCCGGAGAGGCCAATCCAAAAATAGAAGGAAATGAGGAGTTGCTGGAGATATATCCAGAGCTACCTGATGACATAGACATTATCAGAATAAAAACATAATGAAAACTTACTAAACATTCTGAGAACACTCTTTTCTGAATAGTATATTCTTTGATGATCTTTTGGGTTTTCGTCAAATTTCAATGGAAGCACTGTCAGTGGGAAATAACTTTCCAGCATGGAATGCTGAAAAATTTTGAAGATACCGATAGTGAGGTTGAATAATTTTATTTTAGAAGTACTGCAGCGAAAATTGATGAAACCGTCAACTTTGAGCTCAATTATCTCAATTCCTGTGAAAGATATCGAAAGTATGTCAACTGATAAATCATTTATCATAAGATCACAAATACTTTATCAGTTGACAAATTTTCCATACCTTTCACAGGAATCGAGATTATCGAGCTCAAAGTTGATGGTTTGGGTGGGCTTCTATCAGAGGAAATATTAGGTTGATAAGAAAGTTTCTTTCTTTTTGGCAGAGTTGTTTTTGAGGATCGATATCTGGCGCTCCAAGTGGTTTAGCGGGCCAAATTTTTTTTTGTTAGAGAGCTGTGTTCAGTGGCTATTAGATCCTAGATTTTCAAATTTTCATCTCTCTTCGTGTGGAAGAAATGGCGATTCTTTTAGTCCTTATCCGACTGCCCATTGGCAACTTGATTATATTTTTATTTTTATTCGGTCTTCAAACAGCTGGTATTTGGAAGAAAATTGTGGATGTATATAAGGGACATGTTCCGTCATCGTCTACAATTTGCCTTTTGTTTGAAGAATTCCAAACAAGAGAGTTCAGTTTGAAAGATGCCAACGGCCTAGTGAGTCGGATCTTCATCAATTGCTAAAAACCGGGGAGGTGCATCCATTTCAAACCATTTGTAAAATGTCACAGGCATTGCCCTCTAGTCAACCAAGTATTGTGACCGGATCGAAGTCTCTTGGCAAAGTCAAAATCTGGGTTGATTCGTACACCGCGTTTTTCCGGACTACAATATGTTTCGTCATGTAGACATGGGTATGTTTCACCTATCATTTCTTCGCACGTTCAAATGGCTGGATGATGTCATTACAGTAGATGATAAGTGCGTAAGTTACTCTGTCAATGTGCGGAAGGGTCAGTTGATTGCCAAGAAATAGCTAGCTCTGGACGTCCAAGAACCTAAATTTTCCTTAAAAATATGCTATAAGTTTGATGGTCGGTCAAAGTAATGGACACTGGGAAGTTTTAGTTGAAGGTACCACTATAACTGCCACCTTGTTTAGTTCATAATTAGAAAATATGAACTTGACAGTCTAATCAAACGAGGAGAAAAAACCAAAGTTTGCTTCCAGTGCGGCAATGCGAGATCGCTTGTGAATAGAGGGATCAGCCATAAATTCATGACCTTTGGCTGAAATGTTATTTTGCACTCATCGTATTCTCCGGACCTTGCCCTTCAGGAAAAGTAATATTTTGGAGCTCTTAAACGTCATCATGATAGAGAATACTTCAAGTGAAAAAATGGCACAAAAAAGGAGTAGTCCCACTATTTCAATCGCAGCCTTCCTCGTTCTGGGCCGATGGAATCAAGAAATTACCGGAGCGTTGCCAGACAACTATTGATGCTAATGGACGTTATTTTCATTGATCTAGCTCCCTCCGCATTGAGAAAAATTTGATCAAAAGTTTTGCCAAAAAAGAAAGAAACTTTCTTATCAACCTAATGTGTTTTCTGACTAGGGAATGTGGTGACTGGGGCTTGGAACTTTGATATGAGACCTATACCATTTGAAAGCTTAGGATGCGAAACTTGCAAATAAACATTTCGAATTTTCTGCGGACATACCAGATTAGAGAAAATTGGGTTTCAACTTTGACTGAAATTTGAATATTCTGACGGCTGCCGAGATCCGGTCCCCTTTTTCTCAAATACGTCCGCAGCAAAATCAGAATATTTATTTGAAAATGTCGCATTCCTAGCTTTCTAATGATACAGGTCTCATATCAATGTTCTATACTCAGTTACATGATTCCCTAGTCAGATGATAGATACCGTATTTAATCTTATAGAAGATATCTAAAATTTTGTCAACTGATTAAATATTGTTGATACTATGATAAATTCATTAGTTGACAAATTGTTGCTATCTTCCCCAGAAATCAAGATACCGTAAAACCTCTNATTTNTANCCCCGCTTTTNATTTTTCTAGTTTTTAAAAAATAAATTATTTTTGGTTCTAAGTTACTTGGNTGANCCNNTNNTAAAGGGANNTACCANAGAGTAACAAGAGAGATACCCCTGGGTTAAGTATCAGTTATCAGATTTCTCTAATACAAGATTAACATCTCCCAAATCATCTATTGATCGCAATCTGGATTTGGACTACTCATCTGTAAATAGTAAGAAAAAGAAAAAGAAGTGTGAGGAAGAGAGAAAGTGGGGGCAGCTATCAGTTGAATCGAATCAGTTCTGATTAAATTCTTCTTATCAGCGTGCTGATTTGGAGCTGAATACACTTGAATTGATTGTGAGCAGGTCTCTGTTGTCGACATCAAAACATCAGCTGTTAGGAACAAAAAAAAATGTTATACCAAAGTTATGACGTTGCAAGTTGCAAAAAGAAGAAGAAAACGGAAAAGGGTAATAAAATCATAAAAAGAGGTACCGAGAAGAAAATCGGAAATGGTTCAGAAGCCTTTTACTGAATCGAAATGAAGGTTGTTCCCATCTTTCTGATACTTACATCCCTGATTTGTCAATCTGTAAGTGTATTACATTTTTTAAGTTTGTGAAAAAATCTCAGTATTTTTCCAAACAAGGAGATTGAATAATTTTATTGCAGAAGTTCTGCCATTCAGAATATAGATACCGTATTTTCTCTAACAGAAGCTCACCCGAATAGTCCATTTTGAGCTCAATTACCGTAAAACCTCTAATAGAACGACACCCGGGGGGTCCGCTTCGAGGCTATCTTTTTTTTTGGGTGAGTAAACCATCTTCGTGGGGGGGCTTCGCACACTGGTGGAGAACGAGCGGTCGACACCAATCGAGGCCCGCGTGGGCCGCCGCATTTCGACAGCGTGCGCGCGCTCACTGCTGGGTGAGTCTTCTTGTTCTGTTGGGGGGACT